TATCTTTATATACTCTTTCGTGTAATATTTTAAATAAACAAATATAATGTTTAAAATTATTAAAACAATAAATAAGAACGTTCTTATAATATTAATTCATTATCTTTCACTAAAATTGCATTCAATTGTATTATATTATGCTAATTTTATTGTTGCACATGTGAATACATCAAAAAAAAATTCGAAATATTCTAAATATTTTTTCTATTTTATTTTATTTTTTTCTTCTCTCTTTTTTGATATACATCTTCCGTATAATATTTAAATAAACAAACATAATGTTGAAAATTATTAAAACATAACCAATGCCACCTCTTTTAATATAAGAATATTCTTACATATTAATTCATAATATTTCATTCGACAATTTTTGCACAAGTTACCATATTAAAAACAAAATTCGAATCTTTCGTAGAAAATTTTTGTTTTAAATAAACAAACTTACCTCGAAAAATAAGGATTGTAAGGAATTTATTTCATTTTTGGATAGGAGTATTAATGATTCTTCATCATTAATGGCAAGACATAATCTAAAGAAAAACAAAAAGAAAAATAGAAACAAACAAACAAAATTAAATGTTTATTTTTTTTCCATTTTTTTTTCTTTTTAAAACAAATTTGTGTATATGTTTGTGTGTGCGTGTGTGTATACATGCATGAGATTCTAATAAGTATTTTAATTATTTTGCACTTTTCTCTATAAACCAACTTTATGTTGAAAAAAGATAACGAACACTTCGTCGTGTTACGGGGGAGGGCATGGGGGCATGGTGGGCATGGGGTCAGGGGATAAGAAAAGATGTAATAAATTATCTTTGGGACGTTTGAATTTGACGATGATCTTCCTTCTTTTTTTTTTCATTTTTTTGGGAGGGTTTTTTTCTTTTTTTTTATTCTAAAATAGGTCAGTAACTTGAGATGGTATTTTTAATGGACGACCACGTTTCTTCGATCGGTGCTAATACAACGATGGTAATCAAAATTGCAAGAAAAACGATGATTATTAAAACGTAGATGCCTAGAATTAGTTTTCTCAGACCAGCTCGCTGAAACATAGAAGAAAAATTGGGGTCAACAAAAAATAAGAAACTAAAAAACATAAAAAAAATAAAATAAGAAACCATAAAGATAAATGTGTTAATAACAACAACAGTTGTGACAAATGATTACATTCTCGTTTTTATATTATTAAGAAATATATTTTATATATTTTAGTTGGGGGTGAAGGGGGGTTTTGAAATAATGATCTTACGGGTGCTTCCATTCTCGTATCCGAGCTCGTCATTTGTCCACGTGGACTCATGTCCTTCATGGGAAATGAATCCCCCCTCTGGGATGATTCTCTATCTGGTGCATAACCCAGGAACTGAAAGAATAATTATTACGACTTGAGAATTTAAATGTATAGTAAAAAGATTAAATAAAAATAACTTAAAAAGAAATTACGTTTCTGGATTGTTATACCATTCGATATTATATTTTTGTAATTTTTGTTTAATCGAATTATTTGCATTTATTTAAATTTATTTTACACGTTTGTCAAACAATTATTATTCTCGTGACATCCGATATGACATTTAATTTTTATAATTTTTATTTAACC